GCAGAACAGAATGGATTCTCCCCTAACTTCCCACGCCACGCAGAACTGCATGTGGACCAGGTTTTACGCCCAACGACAGATCTTCACTTGCACAAACAGAAAACATATCTTCCTGGCCTCTGCAGGCCCTCTCAGTACTTCTCCTACTAGGACGGCCAGGGAGGACCACAGAAGTTCACCAGTCTGGTAAAAAGTTCCCGAGTTCTAGGGATAAAAGAGAGAGTTGATTTTTTTTTTTCCCCCTTTCTGTATTCTTCATTATGTCAACGACTTCAAGTCTGTTTAAAATATTTCTCCTTGTTGCTTAGGAACACTGCATGAGCTAATAATCATCACATTTTCCCTTAAGTTACTTTCCCAGCTCGGTGACCCTTGACTACGGCAGCAGCGCGGGGCCGGGGTGCAAATAGTCCTGATAAATATGCATTCTATGGATCATAAGGGATTAAAATTAAACATTCAACATTTATTGAATGTGCACTCTTGGACAGACACTGGGCCAGCCACGGGAGGCAGACAGATGCCTAAGACACGCTTTTTATCGTCCAGGAACTCACAGAATTGAGGATAAAAATAGTTTGGGGCTCAGTGTGCAAATCGCAGAATTGTTAAGCATTTTGGACTTCAAGAAGGAACAATAAGAGACTTTTATATTCTGGGGATTTTTTTTTTTTTTTTTTTTAGGTTAAGATAGGGTTACTGGAGTCTGATTTGGGTGAGGAAAGTATTATTAATAAGTTCTCTGTCACGGAGCCTACGACTTCCTTTTCCATTTGCCTTTTATGTAGGATGTCTCGTGCAACTCCGAGTGGGGGTGACCCCAGCCCGGACCAGGGCAGGAGGGTCCGGCCTCCATGCTGAGTCTCTGTGGTTCTGCTACGACTACCGTAGGCCTAATGTTCTCCTGAAGCATTGGTAACTACCCAAGCATTTGGGGTCCACGTCTACACATCCAAGTTCCCCGTCTACTTGTGTGTGTGAGGCTGTGAATGTAACTACGGCCACTCGACAACGTCAGGAACACCTGCCCCTGTTGGAGCCAGTATTGTGCAGGTGCAAACACCCACGGGGGAAGGTCGCTTTATTAACTTGTCTTTGTTCGATTTGTTTTTGTTTTTCGGTTTTGTTGGTCCCTCAGCAGCCTCCTTTTTCGGGCAGTAACACTAAAGCCGGACAAAGAAGACGGAAATCTCTGGTTCTAAGGAGGCCTGGGTTACTGTCCCCAGAGCCAGCCTCTTACATCTGGCGCATTAATCCTGGTGGAGGCTGAGCATCTACCAAATACAGTCGTGGGAGCCCAGGGAGAGAGAGCACACAGCTTCCGTCTGCAGAGGGAAGCCGAGAAACTGTCCTTGAACCTTAAATGCGGGCTGGATGGCTCATGGCTGAGCCGAGCCCGGTGCACACTGCAGTGGAGGGAATGCGCTCTTTTAGAGGAGGAGGTAGGAGGCTCCAAGAAAGGGTTAGTGTTTTGGGTGCCGTGCTCTGTGGTTTCGGTCCCTTTAGGGGAGCTACAGCGGCGCTGTGTGCAAGGCCGTCAGGCCTCAGGTGGGTCCTGGGCTGCAGGGGCATTTCGAACAGTCCAACCCCGGGGCTCACCAACAAACTGTGAGTCCCTTAGACTCTCTTGTCTTGAAATGTAAGGAAATAACTGCCAGATCTCTGAAGTTTTCGGGTGTTCATCAGATACACCATTTTACACCTGCCCCCGGGCCTCAGCTTTGATCTGTTTGCTCTCAGAGGGCAAGTTCAGATGCTTTTGTGTTGTCGATTAGGACAAGCATCTGGAGACCACCCAGGGAGTGTAAGCCACGTGCATGGGTGCACAGCCCAGGACACGTAAGTCCCTGGGGACAGATCTGAACCGAGAACTCAGCCCTGCACACCCCCCGCCATGCTAAGTCTAGTGCTTCTTTGTGCTACCTTCGTTCGTCCTCTGAAGGTGCTAGTGATGGACCGTCCGATTTCTCAGTAATATGTCCCTATCTGGTAAGTACGGGACACCCAGAGCGATCCCCAGTTTCGTGCAGTCTGTACCCGCCTCCTCCACCAGCGTGAGCCCTGGCGCCCCTCTTCCCTCCTGGGGCCACCCTCTGCATCGGACTCGGCCCTCCCGTTCCTCACAGGTGATGTCCGGGGGCTCTCATCCCTCTCCAGAGCCATGAACTTGCCCATCTTCTGCAAGGGCGGTTGACAGAGAAAGCAGGGATGCTTCTAGATCTTTACCTACTGCAGCCTCTAATGCATAATGATGCTTTCCTGTTTGTTTTCTCTGTCAGAGTGTAGAACTATTATATGTGAAAGAGTGAACAGAAATGGGCGTATTTTGAGTCAAGCCTGGATTTAAGGCAAGGATGATTCAGGATAATATGGAGAACTAGCAGAGAGACCACAGGTGGGGGATGGGCCAAGAACAGAGCCAAGGGCAATAGGGGACCAGGCAGGTCACTTATGTTATCCATCTGGTAAGGCCTGGAGAACAGAGGACGGGGGAGTGGCTGTGCGTGCGCGCGCGCGTGTAAGTGTGTGTGCGCGCATGTGGGGGGGGCGTGTTCTTCACGCGCGGCTTCTTTTAGGCTTAATTATTTTGCTCTTTCCATTAAAGTGAATAATCAGGAAAGCTCTGCAAACCTCATTCATGTGGAATAACACAGGTTGAGGATGAAGACATTTTGATCGTACCTAAATGCCAAATACCTTCTCTCATGACAAGCCCTTTGGGAAATGCACGCGCAGCTCTGTCCAGTTATAAACACTCCTACCTCTTTGATCACCCATATCCTAAACCCCCCATATTCAAGAATCCGTTTTTCTTATTTTTCTTCTCTGAAAACATCCTAAGAATTGGCCATATTTTTCTACAAACACAATCGGTAGTTAGCATGGAAAAGCAGCTTTCATTTAAAAACAGGAAAGGAGAGCTAGAGGCTGGGAGTAGTTTCTTTTCTGCCACCGTCAGCATTATACAAGGACAGGGGACAGGGGAGGGTCAAGTTCAAGCAGAACTGCTACTGACCTTCGAGGTTAATGCCGAAGCTCTGGGGGGGGGGGGTTACTTCATTCATTTCCCATCAGGTTCAACGAAAGAGTGGTTTTCAACTTTTCCGTCAGAGTTACAGTTGGCTTTTTATTCCCCAGGAGTCAGGGGCTTGTCGCCGCCAGCAGGATGGCCATGGCCGCCTCCTCAGCCTCGTCCGAAGCTCCACAGACTGCACGGCTTGCTCGGGGGGCGGGGGGGGGGGACCCTGAAAGAATCCCTTTCGAGGGACGCCACGGCCGAAGACCGAAGAGTAATATTTGTCAACATTAAATAGACACTTGGTGAAGTATGCATAAATATTTCTTCATCTAAACAGAACACGAAATTAAATAGTTCAGAAACACAGACACTCTACTGAGTCTACTGTTGTCACCTGTAAACACCAGCTCACACTGAACACAGAAGCAGCTTCTACCCCGGCCCGGGGCCATGCCAGGAGGCCCTGTACAGAGGTGAGGTTTCTTCTCGGCGCCCCCGCCCCCCGCCCCCCTCCCCTCCCGCTCCCCACACAGCCCCTGCGAAAGGAAAAGAAGGAACCCCAACAACCACAGCCATGACAAAAAGGACAAGCAATGGCGGCCCCCCTCCCCCACAGCCCCAATACAACATTGAGCTTTTGGATCAATTTCAAAGGAGATACAAAATCATTTTTTTCGAAACATAAGGAAATCAACTTGAAGCAATACTTTTCAAAGTGTTAATACTTTCTTCAGAGGACATGTGAGTTCCCAAACCCCACCCGTGACTGGGTGAGGGTCGCACAAGGAACCCCGGAAAGCACTGGCCACAGCTAGGTGGCACAGGTGGAAGCCCTTTTGCGTTTGGAAGGGGCCAGGTGGCAAGACCTCCAACACCACGTTCTCCACTGGGGCGCTCTGCCATAGATATTGCTGCGTGTGACATTCAAGCGTGACACTATAAGTTTCAAGCAGTTGAGACAGCAGAAATTTTGTTGGGCAACATTCAGATTTGGATGATTAAATTCAACCCCGTGGACGCGGTTCGTGGTTGGAGCTCAGAGGGCGCCGGTTTGCTGGAGCTCTGTCGAGGAGATCAGCAGAGCCCACGGCTTACACCCGGAGTCTGGCCCAGCCTTGGGGCTGCACCAGCCTCCGGCGGCGGGGCGGGGCGGGGCGGGGAGGGGGGGCAGCTGCCCGCGCCTGCGTATTCCCCGGGGTGGTTTGTCGGGGGGCGGGGGAACAAAACCCTGGTTTCCCAAACGTTACACTGGGTTTATTTCACTTTTATGTTGTGTTAGGATCCTAAAGAACTTCAGTTATCAAAGTACTGAAAGCTTATATTGCAAGAAAAATTTGCCAGCTCAGTGATTCCCACTATATTATATACACTTGTGTATGTGTGTGTGTGTGCGTGTGCAGAAGTCTCTCTCTCTCTCTCTCTCTCACACACACACACACACACACTTATATATTTTTATTGGTACGAAACTGGAACTGCACAAAACAATACTTTGCAAGAATCAAGTCCACAAATAGAATTTAACAACACACCAAAGAAGACAGGGAAGCTCTACTGGGACAAGAAGGTTCAGCTTTACAGCGTATGAAATAATTTCCGAACCACAAATTCACTAGCTGACGTGTTCCACGTGGGATCTGGGTCGACCTGGGTAGACCCCTGTGGGTTCCTCGGGAGGAACGCGGCAGCCGGCTCGGCTGGTGACGCTCATCTGAGATTCCAGCGCTAATGGGAACTCAGAGAACCCAGCAGATCAATTTGGCTGTGGAATTGCTGTGAGACACATTTTATTTTTCCTCTTTGAGAAAAAAACCACCTAAAGTCTATTTCAGAAAAAATTTCTTTATATTCAGGAATATGCTTTTTTTTGTTTTTTTTGCTGAATTGGTATCTGACTTTCTATATTAAAATGGATTTATTCAATGGGTCAGTAAACAGGCAGCTTCCTTCATCTCTGGGTGATAAAAAAAAAAACCCCAACAACCCATTTTTATCACCACCGGGAATCACCCCTACCCTCCGCCAGCGCCCTCCTAAGGTTTGTGGGTGGATGTGTGCGTTTGGCCGCCGCGCGGGGCCGAGCCTCCCCCTACAGGGCCTGCTCGGGCGCGCGCTTGTGGAAAACGACCGACTGTCTCTGCTGGTACTGCTGTTTCCGCCGCCTGCGCCTGTCACACCGGCAAAGCAGCAGCATCTTGAAAGTGGTTCTGAATGTTTTGTTACACAGCGCGTAGCACACGGGGTTCACGGTGCTGTTGATGTAGCACAGCCAGTAGCCCAGATTCCAATAGGTTTTGGGTATGCAACTGTTACAGAAGGTGTTCACCAGAACCATGATATTGTAGGGGGTCCAGGTGATGATGAAGGCCAGCAAGATGGCGCTGAGCGTCTGGGCCGCCTTCTTCTCCTTGATGAGCGACATCCGTTTCCGCTTGGTGATCTGGCTTCGGGTCTTCAGAGCAAACCTCTTGGCCAGAGTGGCTTCCTTGAAGGACAGAGGTAGAGCAGCCGTGGTCTTGCCCGCCGAGGAGTTGGCCTCGGACGCCTTGGCTGTGTCCTCGGCTGACTCTAGCTGGATGGGAAGCTTGGAGAAGCTTTTCGGAAAGCCAGCCCCGTCGTCCATGCTCTTCTGGGTCTGCAGCTTGCTAGCTCTCCTCTGCAGGTCGGCCGCCCCCAGTGCCTCGTCGGGCACCTGCAGGTTGTCCGAGGAGGGCAGTTTGGTGGAGTTGAGGATGGTGCTGTGGCCAGGCAGCTTGAGCACGATGGAGTAGATGGCTCTGGTCTCGGAGCCGATGTCCTCCTCGTCGGAAGAGGCGGAGTTCTCCAGGGAGGCGGCAGCGTCGTTGTTATTCCAGCTGTCGCTGCTGCTCTGGTCAGGGTCCATCTGCTCCGCGCTGGCCTTCCAGCTCTTGGTGGCAAACCAGAAGTGGCAGCGACCGTACTTCCTCTGGGCCGAGCGTTTCAGGCTCTGCTGTTGCAGCTCGTAGCTGCTGCAGCTCCGAGAGCTACCCGTGGGGTGGACAAAGTTCTCGGCCTCCGCGTCCGTCCCCGAGGCCTGCAGCCCGGCGAGCTCTTTGGTACGTTTTTCCGTTTCCTTATAGATCCTCCAGTATAAAATAGTCATGATGGTGACAGGCATGTAGAAGGCAGCGATGGCCGTGCCGAACGTAATGGTGGGCTCGCTGAGGAACTGGATAAAACACTCGCCGGGCGGCACAGTCCTCTTCCCGACAAAGTACTGCCAGAAGAGGATGGCGGGGGCCCAGAGGACGAAGGAAATGACCCACGCCAGGCCTATCATCACGCCAGCTCGTTTGGTTGTTCGTTTGGCTCGGTACGTGAGCGGCCGCGTGATGGAGAAGTACCTGTCGAAGCTGATGACCAGAAGGTTCATGACGGAGGCATTGCTAGCCACGTAGTCAATGGACAGCCAGAGGTCGCAGGCCAGGTTTCCTAGAGCCCACCGATTCATGATGATGTAGGTGGTAAACAGATTCATGGAAATGACCCCGATAATCAGGTCAGCACAGGCCAGGCTTAAGAGGAAGTAGTTATTGACTGTCTTCAGCTGCTTGTTGACCTTGAAGGCCACGATCACCAGGATGTTGCCGATGATGGTCACCAAGGCCAGGACGCCTGTTAGGAAGGCGATGAAGACCACCTGCCAGATGGTGTGGCCTCCCAGCGGATCGCTGGTGGTGCCATTGGCAGAGGAGAAATTCCCAGCTGCCTGAGAGACGTTGTAGCTGCCGAAGTGAGGGGCCGTGCCCGGGGGCAGCCCGGCATCCAAGGGGCCGCGCACCCAGGACGAGCTGATATTTGGAAACAAAGGCGAGGTTGTATTGTTAGTGTGCCAGCTCATTGTGATTCTCGGACATAGTCTGGGGAGAGAAGAGAGAGAAGACGCTGTTAGGAGCACAGTCTGCCTTCGTTGGGTTGGTTCTTCGCATTGCACAGCTTTTAAAATACATGGAAGACCTCTTATAGGATGCTGACTCTCAGGCCAGAAACACCCAGTTCTTTCTCTTACTCCAAGGGTGAGGAGCCTGGAGCCGGTAGAGAATGATCTGCTTGAGCACAGCTAGCTGGTGGCATGCACCGCCCATTGTTCTTTCCGCCCACATTCTCCTTATTCCTCAGTATATACCGCGTACACTTCATGTCATGCGCTTATCCAACAAAATCTTCCTTCTCTTATTTTAAAGAGAAGGGGGGAAATGGGAGATGCGTCTACGCTACTTATGTGGCATAGCTTTATCCTCGTGCTACTCGATAGACTGATCTTATCCACCTGCATTTTACCCAGCCGGGCGCGTGCCTATCTCAGGCTGGAGGCGAACACAGCGTTAAGGAGATGGCAAGCGTTTGAGCCTCCCCAGCATGAGCAACATCAACCTGGAACCAAGGAGGAAGCCTCCCCAGCATGAGCAACATCAACCTGGAACCAGGGAGGTAACAGGTGTAAGTCACTTCACATTGTACCACCTCCTTAAGACGCGAATAGAAAAGCAGTATATCGGTTCTGTGTAATGGTTGATAACGGCATACGAGGAAGGTGTCATATGCTTGATAATATGCAGGATCTCTACCAGAATATTCTGAACTGACCAAACCAGTGTTGGGTATTTCCAGTATTTAGGTCATTTCACTTGAGCAACGAGAAAGTATTTCAGCACCCACATGCACACATTTGTGTACAAAGACTTGCAAAGCCGCAACTAGTTCTTTCGAACCCTTGTTAACCAAAATATGTAAATAACTATGAATCATTATAGTGAGTGCATCACCAGGAAGACCTCCCCCCAGGCTGTCTTGGAAAGCTTTGGGTGAGACCCGCCCCCTCCCCTCGGAGCCTCCACGGTTGTTGGCCTGCGGATGCTCACATCACCAGCCATGGTGGACTTGACCCAAAATCATTCCTCAACAAGTATCATTCTATGAATTCAAAGTTTGATAATCCTAGCAAAATACTATTGGGAACACTTGTGTTTAGGCTCTTGATCTAAAAAGCGTTCGACTATAAACTCTTACATACAAATATGTACACGTATCGCCTGGCAAGAACCCCGCATCAAGCCTTTAGACATCGCATGTCAGAGTCTCTCAACAGAGAGCCATCAGATTCACGCACAGCCTTCTGGAGTGGCCTCAGCGTGTGGCAGGAAGACTTTGCAGTCCCAAAGGCATAGGTTCAAATCTCAGGTGAGCCGCTTCCTGGGGATGGGATCTTGGGTATGACTTTAACTGTTTTGGAGTACCAGTTGCCTCATTGAGAAATAGGAATGAAACATTCTGTATAGTGGAATAAACTGTTGAGAAATTTAACCTAGAATTCAATAGTAAGTGGTCAAAGAAACTTTGTTTCCCACTGAAATATTTTAATATATGTCCAGTGCTTAGTACAGAACTTGACACAGAGCTGTGTGCTACAGAAGCATAGGGTCTGTTGTTATTTTACTGTTCTTATTGAACAGTGAACTCACTTTGCTTTGGCTTTCAGGATGCTCAAAGCTCAACACAGTGCAGTAATAAATGATCAACAGATGAATGGATAAAGAAGATGTGGTACACACACACACACACACACACACACACACAATGGAGTATTATGCAGCCATCAAAAAATGAAATCTTGCCATTTGCAACAACGTGAATGGAACTGGAGGGTATTATGCTGAGCGAAATAAGTCAGTCAGAGAAAGACATGTATCATATGATCTCACTGATATGAGGAATTCTTAATCTCAGGAAACAAACTGAGGGTT